CTTTTCTTAGAAAAGCAAATTCTATGCTTTAACAGTATGAGGCTTTTGATAAAGCCATCTTCAACAAATGTATCCATGTAAATACGGTAATTCCAAAGAAGTTTAGGAGGAGAGATGGTATCGGTATTGGTATCGGTATCGGCAGATACTCAAAGTTGAAGTATCGGTATCGGTATCGGTATCGGAAATCAAAAAGAGGTATCAGTCCACCCCTTGTAGAAGCATTATTTCCATAAATTGTAATAAAATACCAATTGCTGAAAACTACTCGTGAGACTGTAAAAAAATCACTGTAATACCAAAAAATTTGATGTTTTTGTTGCTCTTCCTGAATTAAAGCTGGACGTCTGCGCTTTAATCACATCATGATTGTTTTATTCTAAATCCATGGTGGTGCTGCACAGAGAGAAAACAGTCCAGATACTAACGGACTTGGCTGATTGGCATGATGTTATGAGAACAGCTATTTACACATTAAACAGTGGATTGATCAGATATAATTTGAGGCAAATTAACACCAAATAATGACTGTGGCGGTAACTTTAGTGGTGCCAGCACACTGAAATTGGACTTTAAACAAAAGCACAAGCAGACACTTTAAATTCTTTTATTAAGGATCTTCTTCTGTACAGGAGTGAAGGAGTTTCTCTGTTCCACATGTTACAGCTGCTCGACAGCTCTGTACAACCGTCTGTACAACAGGAGGTCACACACACATCTGATGAGGAAACGTGTTAATTAAACCGATGGCTTTTGGTAGAAGGCAGGTCAGAAAGCGAGGCATGGATTGATTTCTGTTTTCTTTTTCTTTTACACACACTCTCTCTCCAGATTATTTACAACGAGATGGCTGACTGGCCCTGGAGACAGATCAGCAGAGACAGACCAGATAAAACAGAATTCAAATCACATTAAAAAAAAAAAAAGTCTTTCCAAGAGGAAAAACAACAAAAAACAAAGAACCCAAAATCATCCACAGAAGACCCGTTAAAGGCCCGTCTGGAGTTAGTTTATGTACAGTCTGATTTAGAACAAAGCCCACAGCCTTCTGATGAGGAATCATACAGGGCTGCTGACCTGAATGAGGTCGATGCTGTAAACGCTAAGCGATGCTGCCGTGTCATCTGAAACCTGATCGGGGAGGACAACAAAGGGCGCTAACGAGGAAACGTTATCGTCACGTTATGAGCTGGTCTCTAGAAACTGACTTCAGAGTCCTATCAGAGCCCTATGAATGGAGATCTGAGCATGTTGTGACATGCTAGAGGTCTGAAAATCACATTTCACACATGTAGGACGTTCATTATGTTCCAGTGCAGCAGCTTTAATTTCCCGTTTTATAACTTCTCGTCGTTATAATTAAATGTCAGCCTCGTTCGCGTTTCTACTTTAGTCATCATTTAATACCTCTGCTTATTCACTTGCTTTTTGTTTGAATTAATTTACTTTTCAATTTCCCTGAAATGAATCGCTTCATAATTTGTCGAAATATTCACAAGCTTGGGCAAAGAGGCAAAATGCTGATGTAGGATCTCTACAGCTTGAAACGTGACAAGAAGGGTTTAGATTATCCGTCTGTAGGTCGGCCAGCTGGCTGCCAGCTGGAACAAAAACGTTTTAAGCTCAGTTTAGGAGGAATCAGGTTTGGTTTGGTTCAGACCAAAATCATGTCTTTATATCGAAGGTACAAGTCAGCTGGAGTTTGACTGACAGACACGGCAGCTAATGTCAAGATAAAAATAAAACAACTATCAGAGCTGTCAGACTTCATCAGTCATCTGCTTTATGTCAAATTAAAACCAACCGTCACTGACAGAAGCAGACATCTCTCTCTCTCTCTTTAGGCAAAGTTAAGAACCAGCATCACTTTCAAGGCAGTTTTCTCACAAACTTCTACATCTGTTTCCAGAGGTAATTAACTATATCCATGTGTGGTCCCGTGTGATGTACAGTGTTAAAACATAAATAATCAACTATCAACAGAAACTGTGGTGAGAAAACAACAAAACAACAACTCAAGCTTATAGTGTGTGGTGTGAGGAGTGCTTCTGTTACGATAATGTTGTACGTGGTAGCTGGAATAACGTTTAGTACAGACGTGTGGTAGCTCATCTTTATGTACAGCACATCGTTTGTCCTCATCTTCAGTCGACCTGCAGATTTCTCTCTGAGATACAGTGACGAGGCTCGCGTTTCACATTTGTTTGAGGCAAGTGTAAACTCAGGAGTATAAAAACAAAAACAGATGGAAAAAAAAAAATGGAATCAGAAATACACAAACAGAATGTAATCCTCACATAAACGCAGTCAGAATGAATCAGCACTGCCTCCATTGGACCACTAGAGAGCATCAACGGTTAAAGAGGATCGGGGCCAGAAGGCAGCAGGTTTATGTAAACAACCAGACAGAACCAGCAGACGTGGGTCCATTTCAGACACGTTAAATCACACAATGACAAATAAAAGCTTCCGATGAGAGTGTGGATGAGTCACGGAGGTGCTTAAAATCCTCCCGACCCATTAGGATTAATGACAGAGTGGGGCTTCGAGGAGAATATTATCCCTTTTTTTTTTTTTTCCAAAATCAGGAACTGTTTTAAACCCCATACATTCAGTTTCTCTCATTTAACAAAACTTTACAAAAACAAGAAGGCCGTCCAGACAAAGCCTGACCGCTTATCTTTTATCTGTGGCATAAAACATTGGCTGGGCTGGTAAACATAGAGCTGGATGTGTGACGGGATGTTTTAACGCTCAGTAGTGGAGCTTTGAGTGAGGTGTAATGGATCACGTGTTCTGGTGCCAGTCTGTTAGGTCCACATGGTTAAAATAAATCCACTACGACAGCAGTGGAACACCTTCATGAAGGTTCACATCTTTATCAGTAAGAATTTGCAAACTTCATTCTAAAAAAATGATCACAAGGTTGAATCAACACCTTTCTAAAACGGTTTTAACGAAAGCTGAAAAGTCTGAGTGGACCACAATCACCATTAAAGAGACAACACGCCTCTTATGCTTCAGTAAGTGAAGCCCCAATTAACACATGAGCTGATAATAACCTCCATGAAGGCAGAGCACACCGTACGCCCGTCACATCAGACTCTGTTTGTTCAGGTCACGTGTGCCTAATAAACTGGCAGCTGAGACTATGTGTGTCTGCGTGTACATGTAACAGGATGACAATCTGTGCAGTTCGCTTTGTTTAGTGGAAGTTTAGGCAGTTATAGTCGGAGCCAGACTGAAACGAGCTACAACCACCGTATCTGACTGTCACAGCCGAAGTTCCTGCAACGCCGTCAGAGTCTCTGCAGCAACACCAAACCAGTAACCAGCTCTTGTGAGATGGTTCGTCGTGACATGTTTGAAATGATCTCTTTTCAAAAAGCAACACAGAGGATGGTGTTGAAAGCTTGGTTTTCACGCTGTCACACGATCGTGGTTGTTTCTCACTTGTTAGCTCAACGTAGCTTCTCTTTCTGACCATCCATCCATCATCTCTACACCTTAATCCTCACTAGGGTCATGGGGGGCTGGAGCCTATCCCAGCTGACTCAGGGTGAAGGCAGGTTCACCTGGACAGGTAACCAGTCTATCACAGGGCTGCACTTAGAGACAGACAACCAAGCACACTCACATTCACACCTACGGACAATTTACAATCACCAATTAACCTCAGCATGTTTCTGTGAGCTGTAGCTGTGAGGCGACGGTGCTAACCACCGAGACACCTGCAGCCCTTTTTCTGAACTATAAACCTAAAAATCCCTTTAAAAGTTTGAAACATCTAAACATGATGTCCATGTTTTGTTCAGTGTACTGGTTTGGTGTTTGCTGGCAGCGGCACTTCTGAAATGAACTGGTTTTGTCTAACTGGTGGTTGTAGAGCTGGTCAGTCCCAGTATGGACTGCAGTGGAAAGTGTGCAGCCCGTACTGGTAGCAGCAGTGAAATGTGGTCTCGTAGTGTCCTGTTGGCCTCATGCTTACTGACTCCTCCATCACTTATCTTTCTGCACGATCCTTTTCAGGTTCCTTCTTTGTCTGGAAACGGTGTGAGAGAACACAGAGCTCTGCGTCTTGTTTACATCAGCATCACCGGTGACCATGTGACACAAAATGATGTCTGTTCTCTCAGCTCAACAATCACTGTGTTGTGGGAATGACCTGGAGGTGTTGTTTTTGTTGTTGTGGATGATGCACGAAGCCTAAAGAGGACATGATATCAAAACAACACATTAAAACGTGGGACTAGAATATCTGAGCAGTGCAAAGGTGCAGGAACAGCAGCATTTGTTTGGTTGGGGATTGTGTTCTGTCGTAATTGCTTTAATTTTTAGATCATATCAGGGAGCTGTAATAGCATCCACAAACACTGATCAGCAAATTTGCATTTCCTCCTCAAAATTAGACTTGATTAAAAATGGATTTTTGCTGCCTGCTGCTTTGGACTGAACATGTATTTCGCCCCGAAACTGAAACGCTCTCTGTTCATTCTCCTTCTCGTCTTCTTTAGACTCATCCAGGCCGGTTTCCGAGGATCATCTGACTCCTGCCCAGTCGACACTTCACCTCGTCCTTCTTAAGCTCAGCTCTGGAGACCTTTAGGTATGAGGTTTGAAACACTTTACAGTTCAGTTCCAAGTCCTCGTAGAGAGTCCACTACAATCCGGCCATCTCCACAACTCGCTGTGGCTTCGTTTTAGGACTTCTGCTCAGCAGTGGCAGCCGGCGTGGCCAGGCTCTCTGGCTTCACGATCTGGTAGGTGATCAAGTATTCTGGGTAGGCCTGAGGACACAGAACACATGAATATAACACAAAATGTTATGATTTCAGCTCTAGAAATCAGACAGAGTATTTAAAAGTTGTCATCATTGAGCCAGAATCCCATAATAACCTTTTAGCATATTGTAATTTCAATGGCTTGAGAGGACATTAGAGTTGTGCACCTCCTCTTGGCTTTGTTTTCAGGCTTTAGAAAATTGTGCTAAGGGAGACTCTGGCCAATATCAGGGTTTTTTCAGAGGTGTCATTCCCATTGGCTGTTCTACAAATGCAGATGTGCGCGCTTGTCTGTTCAGATGGCACAACGCCTGATTCAATGGCAGACAAAAGTTCCAAAATGTGTTATCTGGCAACAGGTGGCTACAAAACAGCCCCAAAAAGAGAATTTATGTCCATTAACAAGAGGGTCTGAAGGACAGCCAGACCTAAAACTGAAGCTACGTCCAGTAACTACTACATCCCGAGTCCCCATTTTAAACAAAATAGCTGCAACAGTTTAACAGACAGTTTGTAGTTATAAAAACATCTGTGTGCGTTTGGGTACACCGACCTGTTCCCCTCTGTAGATGACGTACTCTGCATACGCCAGTCCGTTGACGCTGGGTCGCCCTATAACGGAGTGGTGTCCAGGGGGGGCGTGGGCCATTTTCATCGCACTAAACTGAAGGAATGACTTCCCCAGCGTCACCCGGCAGAACAGCATCTGTCTGCAGAAACACATAAACCAACGCTGTCAACAAAACCCATGTTTGTTTGTTCTTACAGGATACGATGCAGGCGGCGGTCGATGTCAACAAAACAGCCGCTTTTGAATACCAGCGTGCTTCTCAGAAACAGAGATCATCACAGGTAGGTTTTTATTTCTTTTTTTTCCTCTCTCTGCACTGTTGGACGACAGTATGGAGCTACAGGATGGGAAGCAGTTTGCATCTCTTAGTGGTTTAGAACAAACGGGGAGCAGAAGGACTGTCTTTTTTTTATTTTAAAGAACATCCATCCATCCATCCATCAATCATCTCTACACCTTAGTCCTCACCAGGGTTGTGGGGGGTTGGAGTCTATCCCAGCTGACTCAGGGTGAAGGCAGGTTCACCTGGACAGGTAACCAGTCTATCACAGGGCTACACTTAGAGACAGACAACCAAGCACACTCACATTCACACCTACGGACAATTTACAATCACCAATTAACCTCAGCATGTTTCTGGACTGTGGGAGGAAGCCGGAGAACCTGGAGAGAACCCACGCTGCACGGAGAGAACATGGAGACTCCACACAGAAAGTCTCCTCACCAGGATGCGAACCAGCAAACTTCTAGCTATGAGGCGATGGTGCTAACCACTGATCCACCTTGCAGCCCTTTAAAGAACATTCATTTTATTTAAATCGATCTGACGCCTTACCTGTGACACACGTAGCAGGAACGGTCTTTATGTGTAGGACATCCTGTTCCTCCACCAATCCCGTACACGTACTGGTTGCTTTTGGAAGAGTTCTCGGCGAAATAGATGCCAGCGCCAAACATGCCACCGATGTAGGCGTGACGTTCGTCAAAGCCCTTATGGATGATTGCATTGATGAAGGGAGAACCTGGAAGTGGAACAAAATGAATGAATCAACGGAAGACACTGTGGGGACGCCTCCTATATGCACACGTAACACATTTTTGTTTGTCAGCAAACGTCCTCAAATACAAGTTGTTTAGAATATTAAAATAAATAAAAATAAAAAGATGATACGAAGAGTGTTTCTGATGATTCACAAGAATGCAGAGTAGAGTTCCAGCTACAGTTCAAGCGCCCCCTGGGGGATGTGTGCTCTGTGAAACGGAGACGTTAGTACGGTCATCGGTGCCAGACGCACACTTCAGGCATCACAGAAGCTTTCTGGGATTTTCTTATCTACAGTGTGTGGAGTTTAAACAAAGCCGAACCCGACTGCTGTGAAAGGTTGCGTCTGGAGCGAGCCTCGTGGCTGAAATTGAACGGAAGATTAATGAGATTCGTTGAAGCTTAAAGTCAAGCCGTAGGAGTGAAGACGCTGCAGTGCACAGTGGAGTTAATTTCAGAGCACACAAATGGCTGAACCTTGATATGGGAGGCCAGGCTGCATTTACTGCTGTCAACTAATAGGAAGTGACTGAAACTACAGGGACATGTGATCCAGACTTCATTAAGAGGGACTGTGACACCAGGCTGGACTAAATCTGCTCCGTTTTCTGACTCACTTCTCCACTTTGGGATGATCAGGTTGAATGTATTTATACAGTCAAATGGCTATAACATGTAGAGCTCAAACATCAGACAAGCTCAGTCTGTATACGGCGGCTGTACTAGCCTGTTTCACACTCCAGCTTTATGCAAAATAGAGACGTTAATGATTTAATTGATGGTATTTGGTCATGAGGAAGAAGACGCAGGACGCGTATGTCTGCAGTACCGCGTCGCTTCACCAGATGGAGCCTCTTATTGTTTCATGAGAAGTTCCAGGTGTGTTTGCTGACCGCCTGAACGTGTTGCATAAAGCAGGTAGGGCAACATCATACCGCGCACCGTAATACCGGTGTAACGTTAGGGGATGATGCGAAACTGAAATATCGCGATAAAATTTAAGTGAAACGAGCAGTGCCGTTGTGTTCGTCCGGTCTAATGCACCGGGAGCGAGAAGCATGGCGGCGAATGCATCGACCGATACAGTAGGGCTGGACCTGGATATCGGAGTATTAAGTCGTTGTGGTGGAGTCCGGATGGTGATTTTGAGATCCGAATATTTGCCTGCCAACCGTCGCTACCCCCCACCACCGCCGCCACCCGATGGTGGAAACAGAACTGTGACTGCTATCCTAAACTGGCATGAGCAGCCAAGTACTGGCTGTGTGTCCCGCCCACTTCCGCCCCGTCGGCCCAAATATTCACCCATGGACACTATGCATGGTTCTGCTCAGGATCTGTCAGCCCGTTTCCATTTGAAATGACTTTTGATTAAACAAATTGTCAGCAAACAATTTACAACGTATGCACTATTGATTTTGGTACATTACAGCTTTAATGCACATCAAGAACAGCTGCTTGCTAAATGGAAAAGAAATTCTTCTTTTTTTTTATTTGCACCAATAAAGTTGTGCAGTTTTGAAGTATTTTGTCTGGCGTCAGTTATATCGTTATCGCAAATGTTCTCATTTATATCGTGATAAATATTTTTGGCCGTATCACCCTGCCCTAAAAGCAGGCGGACCTTCAGCTGCCAGGTGTCGTGTCGATGGGCTCTGCAGCATTTAGCTGTAACAAAGGTGTCCGGTTTAGCTGGATACGTGGGGCTCATGCTAATGCTAAACCTGGGTTTTCAAATGCTAGAGGGAGATGAGCGTCCGTCAGCAGAGAGAAGGTCTAAGCTGTTCATTTTGCTAATGCTGCTAACGTTCAGGAGCAGCAGGACTCCCTTTACATGCTTCCATCAATACTAAAACTCACATGATGAAGTGTATCGACGACATAAATCCATTTTAGAAGTGCCAGTAAATACTGACAGATTCTTGGACTGATAAAGCTGCAGCAAGAGTATTGGTGAACATCTGTTCCAGCTGAGCAGCTGTTTCCAGCAGCTGGACTATTGTTAGCTACAGTGAACATGTAGATCAGCTGTGGAGACTATTTTGATATCAAACCGCTGTGAAGAGAAGATCACTGACATCACAGGTGATTTATTACAGACGACAGCTGCTCCTTTGTTCAGAGTGATATACTGGATTTTGTCGGGTCAATTGTTGAATAGCCGTTTTAAATCAAGTTCTTATGTTTGTTGTTCTTCATCTGTCCTACAAATTCCTGATTTAACCCAGACAACGTTAGGTTTCAGTGGTTACAGACGGTTTTATCAGCATATGGGATGTGTTTTATTAATGAAGAGTTATTGATTATTGTTAACTCGGCTGACTGTCGGTTAAGGAAATTGTTTAACATTGCATCCTGAATGTGGCTTAATGTTTGGTCTATTTTGTTGGAGTGTTATAGATAGATAGATAGATAGATAGATAGATAGATAGATAGATAGATAGATAGATAGATAGATAGATAGATGCAAAATGTACAATAAGTGTAATATGTCAAGAAAAGTCCTATTATTTAGTATTTATTCCAACATGAAAATCACATCAAACTAATGTCAACAGCAGTGTGCAAACGTGTCGGTCTGTCATAGCAGCTTTTGCAAATAAACAAAACAAAAAAAAAGCAAATTATGATGAAAAAAAACAAATGCATGAAGGTAGTAGGACTTCCCGATCGACGTTCTGTATAACTGAAGGCCAGCATCACAGCCGTCATGCTGTCCTGTTTAATCAGACGTGTTTACGTACCGTGGAAGAGCATGCGCTCGTTGTGGTGGTTGTGATTCTCGTCTGCGATTTCCTTTTGTCTGTGTGCGTATCGTTCCCGTAGCTTCTTGTTCACCACCTTCTGGATCTGCAGAGAGACGAGAGGAGGAATGAAAAGAGACGTCAGGTTTAAAATGGACTGAACCTTCAAGTCCAAACTCCTTATTTTCTGTCCAAAAGAGAGAAACCTGGTGTCGGTAAAGCCTGAGTGTGTGTCAGTGCGTACCTTAATGATGTTGTACCGGCTGAAGACTCCGCCTGCGTTGCCTCCATCGCGGTGTTCTCTGATCGTACTCTGCAGCTGAGGAGGACATTAAGAGACATGTGACAATGACAATTACAACACGTGATGCTTTTGTGGCTTTTCAAGGGGAAATGTGAAAACAGTGATGAAATGCACTTTCCAGATTTTGTCAATCGCACTCCGTAAAGTGTGATTCATGCAGATCTCTGGACGGCGTTAGCATCAGGAGAGCTGCTGATTGCTTTGGCACCCCCGGAGTGTTTTTATATTCAGAGAAAGACGCTGAAGTGAAATCCATCTCTGTTAAGAATCCCAACTAGTTTTCTCATATTTTTAAAAATTCAGTCAAGCTCGCTGTGTGGTTTTCCTGCTATTACAAAAGCCACAGAGTCAGTGATGGAGCAGACCAGCGATCAATCAGCGTAGATACCTTGACGATGCCTGAGGGAAATTTAGAACAATGCAGCTGAAAACGCGAGGCATCAGCAGCGATAAAAACAAGGGCTGCAGCATCTGGATTTACAAAATAACGGCGCCGTGGTGTGGGCAAACTGATTATTGTCCTTTTCAAAATTACTTTATTTACCTTTCCTGCTGTTCAAAAACACAATCCAGACCACATGTCAGCACTTTCACAAGTTCTCAACCAAGACCTACAGTAGAAGTCACCTGTTAAGTGTCTGTTAGCGTCTGACGGCTCTCATTAGTTTCAGCAGCTTCCCACTGATATGAACCGTCTCCTTCAATCACTGCTGCTCAGCCTCACAAGAGTAATACAGTCGGCAGAGCGGTCGCAGGGATACGCCGCCGTCCTGCCCACTGTGGCGACACTTCATGTGATTTTAGCCAGATGGCTGAAATCACTAATAACGCACAGATAAAGCTTCAACCATCATCCCACAGAGAGCTTAAATTACTCGACCAGACTGCTGAAGTGTTTTGCAGGTGGTCAGTTAAAAATAACTGGTCTGGGTTTCTCTGTTTCTGTGTAAAGTCTGTCTGCAGCGTGTTTACGTACTTCCTCCTCCACAGACTGGAACTCCTTGTCGTCCGGCGCCAGGTCGATCAGCACCGTGCCCTGACTGGAGCAGTGGAACGTCAGGTACGGGTTTGCACCTGAAGGCACACATTTTGAAGAATTACTGACGGAACAAATCAAAAAGCATAACTGGTGACACAAACTGTTAAAGCAGCGGTCTCAAACTCGCGGCCCGTGGGCCAATTGAGGCCCACCGGACGATATTTTGTGGTCCTCTACTTGACATCAAAGTTAAACGTTTTTCTCACACGCACCTGCGCGAGTCGTTGCCCTGGACGTTTCATATTTTTTGTCACTTGTGGGCCACCATAGCTCAGGCTCATGACAGCAACACGAATTAGCAACGTTAGCCACTTGAAACGTGATTCGGGAGTGATTACATCCTGTCACCCAGTGCAAATGCATGTTTTTTTCTATGTGTGTGAAAAGCTCTTCTCCACCATGAACTTTAATAAGTCAAAGTACAGGTCCAAGCTTCCTGATGAGCATCTTCAAGCCACTCTAAGGATCTCAGTTGCTTCCTCCCTCGAGCCAGATGTGGCTCAGCTGTAAGAAGAAGCGCTGCCCAGCCTCTGGCAGCAGGGAGTAGGTCAGAGAAGCCTGTGTTCTGAAGAACCTTTCATGTTCAGAATTGTTATTGATGAAGATTGAGAAGACTGGATCAGTTGTACTTTTTTTGGAATACTTGAAACCCTGTTTTGGGGGAATACTCGATGCGGCCCAGCCTCAGCCAGACTCTACGTCCAGAGGGTGAGTTGAGTTTGAGACCCCTGTGTTAAAGGGACGGTTACATTTTTCTGAAGAGGTGTGTTCATATAGTTGGTGTATCACCTACAGCACATGGCGGTTAGCTCGCCTCCAGTTTGGGGAAACAGACAGCAGCACCAGCACAGAAACTAAGCTATTATGGATGGGGTCAGCACTGAAACACATCTTAGCCATCTGAGAACAGCCCAGCTAAGAAAACCAATAACGGTTTAAGTGTATAACATATTTAGAATATTTTCTCCACTTCACCTCGCCGGCAGAGAGCCCTCTCTGGGAAAACCGAAGCTGTTCTACCACTCCACTCCACCGACAAAAACAGTAATTTTACGCAGCAGAAAATGAGAGTTGCTGCTCGACCGCCGCCTCGGTCGACCCACTTGTTGTTGTTATCGGGCGACTTTGGTGGTTTTAAAACAACAAAGTCAGACAATAACAGACCAGCAATATTCTGCAAGGTAAAAACACTGTTTTTGTCGAGGGAGTCTGGTGGAGCTGAGGAGCACAGGGTAACAAAGGATCGTCTAACAGCGAGGTGAAGCGGAGAAAACACTGAATTTATTGTACATCTAAAACAAAGAAGGAGTTCACTGCTGGTCCTTCTGTCCTGACTGTGACCTGCTGTAGGGAAGCATCTCAGTCGATACCTGGCTTTGTTCACACACTGAATATAAAACAGTCACAAAGCCTTTGCGCCTGCACAGTAGCTTAAATCTACATTCTGTCCACTGGCCAGCAGGTGGCGACACTTCTGACTGCAAAAAGAAGTTTAGGAGTCGATGAGAAGTGGACCTCGATGAACATTTTCCTCATGATGTTATCGTCTCAATCGCTAGTTTCAAGTCCCCTTTAACACAACACGATGTTTATTTTGTACATTATGTCCCATTTAGAGCAAAACAGATTGTAAAGTAGGCTGACGCTACCCGTCTGGTTACGTCAAATGACAAACTCAAGGCAGACTTTTCTTTACAGTTGTATGTCTAAGACTATTGTCTACATTTAATTTACAATCTGTGGCTTTGTTATATTTAAGATTAGGGCCTAATTAGCATGTTTAATAATCAACATTGCAGTTACATTCAAATATTGAACTGACGAGTTTGACTTTAAGGTGTGAGATGATCATTTGGGTGTTTTCAGACTGATGTGCAGCAGGTTGACTGTAGAGCACATCTTCACATTATCAAAACAATTAAGTGGAAATGTGACACAATTTAAACGTGATATTAAATATTAATTACACATCAAGGTTGAACATTAGCACCATTCATCCAGTAACTAGCTGTTAAAGCTCAGCAGCGTCTCATCTACACACTAAACTACTGACATCCTATCGACTGTGTTTTTCCCGTGTCGTATGCACTTGAACGCTATGTGTGAGCTTCCTGACCTTGCTGGCCTCCCAGCAGCCTCTCGATGCCCTTGATGAGTTTATGTCTGTGGCCGTAAGCGTTGATGCCGATCTCTTTCAGCTCCTCGTGACCCATGTCTGCCAGAACGTCCAGCGAAATCTGCCCAGAAACAGCAAATGGGGCTTTGTGTTTATGTCAATAAACAGGAAAATAACACCACAGTGTCCATACTTCTAATTATATGTAAAATCTTTGGATGTTTAGTGTGTTTAGCAGTAAAACTCCAAACAAATTTAAACAAAAGAATACATTAAAGAGTCCATTAATAATCATGAGTGTAGTGATCTAAGACAACAGGTCTGACGCATATTCATGAAAAACAAGCAGCACGAAGGAAAGGTCAGCGAACGGATGGCAGTAATCAATCCATTGATATGCAAAGCGATGGCGGTGGAGTCATGAGTTCGTTCAGGGGGAGCACAGATAACTTTCCTCTGCGTGTCACTGAACTCAGATGCAGGTGAAAATCCTCACAACAGAAACCGTCTGTTGGGACTTCAGGGCGACATTCACCAAGAAAAAACATACATAAGCAGAATAGAAACTCATCTGGCGCCAGGAGTTAATATAAAGATGTGTTTCTGTTTGGGAACCACAGCAGAACGGATGTGAGCTTCTACACAAGCCTGAATGAAGTAAAACAGTTTGATGTAATCACCTCAAACGAAGGAGAAGACACATCTGTCTGCTTCTAGCTGATGTTTCTCTGGTGTTCTGTTTAAATGATCACCTGTCTTACTCTGTCCTCTTCTTCCAGCTTTATTAGTTTTGAACGGCTAAGATTTACAAAAACGGCGAGATTAAGAGTCTACAGCCACGGTGGAAACAGCACAATGATGTGATGCTGAGCAGTTATGATGTTTACTATGATCACCGTAGTGCCTACTTCTGCTTGTTAGCATATCTAATTAACACTAAACATGAATTAAGAGTTCAGGCTGAAGGAAACGCCATTAGACGTACAGATACGTAGCCATAAACCAAAGCAGGATACGCAGCAAAAGCAAAGTCAAATTCGATGCAGCTACATGAGAAGTTAAAGGATCACCAGAGGCGTTCCAGTTCGTTCTGAGGGGAACATGGACGTCTGAACCAGTTTTAATGGCAATAGACTTGTGTCAGTGGTGGAGAAAGTAAATTAACAGCTATTGGTACACTTCATGCTGCTAGAATGGATAATAAGGGGGGAAAGTGAAATGAAACTAAAACAAATGAAAAAAAACCACAGTGCTTAAAATAGCTTGTTTGGACCCAAACTGTGTGAGTTTATATCCCTGAAAGAAATAAAGCGCCTCTCTATTGCTTCACACCTTTCACTGTTTCCTCTCTCGCTTGTCTTCTCCCAGACACATAAAGAACTGTGTTTGTGTACCTGTTCCCGCTGGAAGATTTCTCGGAGGTGTTCCAGCCCCAAACTCTTCAAGAACTGGTTGATGGTCATGTCGAGCAGCGCTGCACAGACAAAGAGATGAGATCAGCACAAGTTGGTGTTTGTGTAAACAGCTCCCGATTCAGGACAACTTGTACGCTGGTGTGTGTGCGTTCGTACTTTCTCCCTCCTTCCTGTCCGACCCAGACGCTCCGTCTGCGGTTCCGGTGGCTCCGGCCACCGTGATGTCGCCGAGCGATGTGGTCAGGTTGTCCACGCTGCTGGCTGCTGACAGGCAGGACGGAGATGGAGACGGAGAGATGACCACGCCGGCCGATGCACCGGTACTCACCACCGTCGCACTCACCTGGGAGGGAGAGGGTTTGGTTTAAAGGGTCAGTTAGTAAAACTTTATTGGTGAAACACAAGTTAAATCACCAGTGACATGTCTGACGGATTTTATTTGTATAGCGCAGTTTACAACATATGTCATCACACAGCGCTTAACAAAGTAAGATATAGACCAGGGGTGTCCAGTCCTGGTCCTCGAGGGCCACAGTCCTGCATGTTTTAGATGTTTCCAACACACCTGATTCAAATGATCAGCTCATCATCAAGCTCTGCAGAAGCCTGATAAAGATCCTGATCATTTGAATCAGGTGTGTTGGAAGAGGGACACATCTAGAACATGCAGGACTGTGGCCCTGGAGGACCAGGATTGGACACCCCTGGTACAGACCTTACAAATTTAAACAGAGAACCCAACAATCCAAAGTAGGCTTTGGACTCCTTCTGAGCAAGCGGTTGGTAACAGTGAGAAGAAACCAAAACCCCCCAATGGAGGGGAAAAAAACCTCCGGCAGAACCAGACTCAGGGCAGACGGCCATCTGCCTCGACCAGTTGGGTGAGAGTGGGGATAGGGAGGTGGGGAAAAGGATAGCAGATGGAGAGCAGTAATAGAACGTAACAGTAAATATGAAGGATTTTGGGGGTCGGTGAGGCCAGCGGCTGCAGGTCAGAGACGTGAAGCTCAAGATCCAGAGACGTCCGCAGAGAGAACAAACACAGGACGTTTGAACTTGAACTACAGCGATGACTTCAATCAAAGTTTCCACAGCTTTGCTCTCTCACCTGAGCTGCTGATTTAACAACTTTCTGGACATTTGGGTTGCATTCGTTTCTTACACTTCAGCTGTAACTGTTTCTAGCACTTGCATGTAAATGAACAACTCAACTGTATTTACCTGCTGAGGGTTCAGAGGGTTAAACTGTAATTCCCAAACATGAGCTCACGTACAACGAAATAAACTCGTCTGCAGTCGTTTTCATCAGCAGTTTTACTGCAAATGGCCCCACTTAAATATTCCTTTTCTAATTTCCAGATACGCTCGCTGTTTCTGTTAATAGCAAACACGTATAACGGCCTCCACAGGACATGTTTCATCAGCTAAAAGCTCCACGTCTTCCCCGTGTGTGGAAACTCACCACGGTGGCCTGCGGCTTCAAGCAGCTTGGCAGGGCGTCTGGTGGCATGGCGTCAATCAGCAGCGCTCTGATGTCATCGGCCTGGAACACACAACCGGCGGTCTAATTTATGGTCGGGCTCGAAAACCTGAGTCACTGCTTTGTTGAAGTTTTTCACACAGTAGTTTTTCATACATAAAGTCAGAGGAGCATGTTCATCGATGGAGAAACACACGTTTTTTTTGTCTTTTTTTCAGTTTTATGTCGTTTAGCCATCACACTCTTTACCTTCAGCCAATTAAATCAAAGCCACACATAAGAGCAGCTCAGATTTCAGGATGATTGAATTCAGATACGACACATGAAGGGCTTCCCTTTAAAGCGAGGCTATAACGTTTACCGAACTGTGGCCGCTGCAGCACAAATGACTATTATGGGATGGTGCTAATTGCTACTTCTTTTTTTTTAGCATTAAGCTAAATTGCAAAGCTGTGTGACAATCATACAAGAGAAGACGGGTCATTAAGTCAGTGAACTGACACAGAAACGTGTTATACGGCAATATCCATCTAAAATTAGCTCTCATTAGCGAAGCACAATACGCTGCTGGTCACACCGGATCAGGTTACGCTGCCGCAGCAAATCCACTGTTGAAACGAGCAGCGGCGACTTCTTTGTACAGATTTATCTGGTCATTTGCATGTGGAACAGTTTTCTCTATCATATTCTAAAGGTGACGGCTGAGATGCTTTGAGAAGTGACGCCAAAATTAACCAGCAACTGGAAAAAACAAACAAAAAAAATCTAAAGTTTTCAGCTCAAATCGTCATGATTTTAGATCAAACTCTTTGTTGGATTGTTCGGGTTGTTCTGCTCTGGGAGCGCCGTACCAACACTTCAGTGTGATGGTCTGTAAATGAAGCGTTCTCTGTTAAAGAACTCGTCTTACTTTCCCTGTCAGCGAGTACACGGCGCTAAACAGCAGCTTTTGTGTTTCCTCTAATCTGCAGCAGAACAGCGGACTAATTCGAGCAAGTCTGTGGATGTCAGCAGCAGTGATGTGTTGTTTTCTAGGAAAGACTCTCAGACTGGGACCTACAGTCGAACCAGGAAGGAAGCTTGTTAGGAAACCTCATTAGGGAGCAAGGAGGCGAGACCGTCGAAATTTCTGCAAAGTTTCCTCTGAATAGTCAAATATTAGCATCACCCAAACATCAGTTAAAGCTGATGAGAGCCGTGAGAGTCCTAATGGCAGAAAAGCTAGGATCACCAAGAAAATCCTCTCGTACCGTCGCCAAGTCCAGTGGCGTCTGGCCCTCCTGGTTCTTCATGGTGGGGTCGGCTCCATGGGCCAGCAGCAGGGCGCAGAGCTGAGTCCGGCCTTTCTGGGCCGCTTCGTGGAGGGGAGTGAACGCCCACTTATCGGTGGCGTTCACACACGTGTTGTACTTGATCAGCAGGGCGGCGATGTCCACGTGCTGGACAGAGGAGAGGAAGGAGGAGACAGGAGAGGACAGGTAGGAGGGAGGAGGAGAAGAACCGGGACAGATTTAAAGCCGAGCAGAGGAGAAGAGATGAGAAATGGCATGAGAGCAGTGAGGAGGTGGTTGGGCGAGTGAGAGACAACAGCAATGAAAGCATTTAACAAGAGCAAATGTGTGAAGTGTTGGTGAATGAGCGCGACAAAATCGTGATCAGAGAAAAAGAAGGAGAATGTGGGCTTCTCTGTAACAGAAACTGAATTATTAACTCCATCGTGGTTCTTGTTTTCCCACCGGTCCTTCGTCTCCTTCTTTTCCTGCTCGTCTCCCTCGTCGTCTGACTCCAACTCGTGTTTTAGCGTCAAACATAACGCGGCTTGTTTTGGAGTCGCAGGCGGAGACGCTGCTGGAGTGCGTGTCGAGCTCATCAAGCTTTCATACCGACACGTGTTTCATGACTCTTTCAGGAGCAGAACGCTGACGAGCTACGAGACACTCGACCGAGGACTCCCGCTGAAGGTAAAGTCACATACATGCACTTCTCCAAGAGTGGAAATAAATGAGGTCCCTACAGTCCCGTATCATAAACATAATATGAGAAATCTGCACTTTTTTACTGGACTGTGACCATTTTTCTAATTCAGCTCCTCCTGCAGAACGTAATTAGCCGTAGTGAACTTCACGAGATTCTCCTGAGAGACGTCAGACTCGGCAGGAAACCAACGTACAACAGTGGAAAAAAGAAACCTAGTGGGTCTGGTTCTCCTGAATGATTTAATTGATGCATCATTTAGTCTATAAAATGTCAATAATGATAAATAACAACAGGACTGAGTTTAGAGTTCCTGCAGTTCAGAATTTAAGGAAAATCTTCACATTTTAGCTTCGAAAGCTAACAAGTAATTCCATTTTAATAATTAAAATAGTTGATTAGTGAAAGTTTTTATATTTTATTTATACTTTTGCTGTAGACGAGTTGTTTCCTAAAATACATCTGAACAAATATCTAACATTTCGGAGCAGATCTCAGAACCCAGAGTCAGCAGCGTGAGTGTCTTACCCCGTACGAAGCAGCGTTGTGTAACGGTATCAGCCCTCCTTTGTCCTGCGCGTTCACGTCAGCTCCGTGTTCCAACAGATACTCGGCTACCTCCAGGTTGTTGTAGCCGGCTGGAGAGACCACAGAGGAATCAGAGCAGGACGGGAGGAAGGACGAGGGAGGAGAGACGAGGCGTGGAGGAAGAGAAACAAAGAGCCAGTCAGGTAACGGGAGGAGGAAGTAACGCTGAAGACAGAGAACGTCAGCCTGCATCAGCTGCAGCGTGACAACGCGCATAATCATCCTTTCCTTTTACAAGAGAGCAGATCAAGGCAGAGGGAGCGTGGGTGTGTGTCTGAGTGGTCAGATCTTTGAAGAAAAGAGAAATCACAGACCTGGAAAGTGTTTTTCAGCAGTTTCTTAACTTTTAAAGTGGCAAAACATTTTCCAATTAAGACTGAACACTTCATCGTCATATAGAAACGCGGTCTGATCGAGTTCTAGCGTGATTGGGTTCATGTTGTTTACTCTGATTACAGCTGTAAGGTTTCTTTTTTTTTATCAGACAATGAGTGTTTTTTAGATAGGAGCTGTTTTAACCTTTGACATGTTTCGACTGTCACTTCCTCAGAAACGTCACTGACATCTGTGGTGACGCGTCTTCATCAGCTGCTGGTTTCCTGGAGGTGTGACCCACCAGGCAACCTGTCAGATTTACCCGACGGGCCACGCCTCCCGGTGGTCTGTGCAGGAGAGCGTCCCATGTGTGGGGCAGCATGATGCCCCCTCATCACGGTTCATGGTGTCTTTGACTCAAAGATCATCACAACGGAGAGCAACAAGTTTAAATGTTGGATCAAGGAGACCACAGAAATCAGGAGGCGAGCCAAAGACACAATGAGCCATGATGAGGGGGCATCATGCTGCCCCACACATGGGACGCTCTCTTGCAGATGCCACCAGGCAGCAGGAGGCGTGGCCCGTCGGGTAAATCTGACAGACCGCCAGGTGGATCACACCTCCTCCAGGAAACCAGCAGCTGATGAAGACACATCACCACCGACGTCAGTGACGTTTCTGAGGAAGACTGAAGCGACAGTCGCAACAGGTCAAAGGTAAAAACAGCTCCTAACTGAAAAACACTCATTGTCTGATAAAAAAAGAAAGCTTATACCTGATGAAGTTCTGTATAAGTACAGAGTCTAAATATAGACGTTAAAAAGTCAGCAAGAAATGAGACGCATCAGTTTCATCACCAGGAACATATGAAGGACTAAAGGGAAGTAAAGATACAAACACTGGATCAGAACCTGGACGTGAGATTCATGCTGCCGTCACGTGTCACAAAATTTCATGAAAATGAAGACAAACAAATTAAAAACGTCTAATCATTGACCTTTCCTGCTGACATTTGAGTGACCTACAGCAGTCAGACGACAGCGCCGCCGCTGATGTTCGCCACCAAACTAAATGTGAGTAAACGCTCCCGTGCACTTCTTCCATTTGTTCTCTTTTGTGTTCAGAGTTTGCAGAACAGTCTGCGGTTTGCACAGAAAGACGAGTGTGTTAATGTAAATTTATGGATGATTATATCAGCATGAATCTCATTAGGCCTTTGTGTGTGTTTGTGTTTATGCCCGTGAGGTGCGATGGCAAGATGGTGCATCGGTTTTTATCCCCGAAACCGATGTCACGGTGATTACAGATGCTGAATACATACATTACAGCGTACAGACGGTATCGCTGCTATAAAGAAATGCATAAAACTAGTGAGAGACCCAAACTCGTCGTAGATATATTACTGCAGTTAACGACCTTAAAGATGCATAAATGTGTTGTTTTGATCATGAATCTGTGAATAAGTACATAGTTACAGATGATACTGTTCGTAAAACGTTTACGCTCTCATCCCGTCAGAGCTAAAACAAAAAGATGACCAAACGTGTTCTTACATTTAATTTTGGGAAATAGGAGGAGCTCGTTAAGGTCAGAGCTTCAGTCGGACTGCAGGCCAAAGCCGCCCCATTTGTTTTTCACTCATGCGTGACTCAGATAAAGTTTCTCAAATCACAGTAATTTATTTTGATTGTGGTTTTAAATCAGAGACAGGTCTGATTCTTTACAGGGTGACCTCGGCCTGACCCGTCCTACCATCGTACTGAGTCATTGGCATTTCTTTCGGTGCTGCTCTGGCAGGAGTCACTCGACGAATACAAACAAGTCGGCTGCAATAAAAGGAGTTAGTGTTGGGACGGGGAGGCGTTGGACCTCAGGAGTGTTTGGGGTCAAACTTCTAACGAATTCATCGGCACCCGTGATTATTTCTGCATCGTGACGTTGCTGAGCTCTAAATATTGACCACATTTAAAAAATAATGTGAACGGCCAGAAAAATGAATAAAAACATCGGATCTGAGCAGTAAAGCTGCGCCGGAGCGATAAAACGTGGAGGTGACATGAAGGGAGGCCGTATTTCAGAATGATGTTTCCTATTAACGGGTACATAAAACGCCGCGTGATGAACCTCACGCACGACAAAACAAAGATTCTTAAGGATCTTTGGAAGTTGTGTCATTAAAAGTCGCTGATAAATGGCTAAACTGTTCCAGCGACTTGTCGGTCCACGCGCTGATTTTGTATTCAGGACTTCCTGGATGTGTTTACTGCCTTGTTCTTGGCGCGGCTCTGTGCTAAAACCCAAGGTCGGCTTTTACTGACACGCTAGAGCTGGAGTGATTGGCACCGGCAGAATACACCGAGCCCCAAGTCGCTTAAATCCTTAATCAGGGAGTTTTTACGACTTGGTAAAGTGACCTGTGAGTGTCTGCAGCCTTCTTGTTACCTGCGAGGTGGAGCGGAGTCGAGTTGCGTCCCTGCGTGTCGCGACAGTTGATGTTGTCGGGGCTGCACAGCTTCTGCACCCTGGCCAGGCAGCCTTTCTTCGCCGCGTCCAGCAGCGCAGCGTCTCCTCTGAGCAGGTCCTGGATGTCGGTGTCCCCGTCCTTCACCAGGTCCAGAGGCGTGTTCCCGTCCCGGTTCTTCTTTGTTGGATCGGCTCCGTGCTGCAGAGTCAAAGAAACGTTCATCCGATACGTGACTAACATCTAAGAAGTGTTTGCAAACAAAACGATTAATAAATCTGAAAGCTGCGTTCTGTGAAACGCCAAGAAGCCGATAAGAACAATAATAAATATCAGAAAAGCCTCCACATCCCAGAGCATCCCAACCCCAGTGGAGGCGCTTCACTTCAACAAGGAAGACGTGATGACAAGTGACGAGTGAGACGAGGATGAAGGTAAATCACCAGAGAGCAGAAGAGAGGGAAGAAGCAGAGGAGGTAGAGAGGTGAGGACAGGACACCCAGTGAAGTGGAAAACACCAGGCACCCCGGGGACGAGGGGAAGGCAGACGTTTTCATCGCTCAGCTGTCTCCTAGGTTACGGCTTAACTTGTCATTTCATTGTGAGTTTTGAAATCCGCTCATTAAAACTGGATGTTGTGGGACCACTCCCCTGGGCATCCACTGCTGGCCTGAAACTGTCCGTTATACATCTCTCACAGCTATATTCCTGTTTTTCAAAGCGGTTCGGAGCCCGGCTTGGATTTTTCTGCCCAGCGTCTCCATTTCTATTATCTCCCGCTGCTTTTTCTAATCACATCCTCCCCGTAATTGATCCTCGATCCGGGAGAACTAGAATATAAATAGTTTACATGCAAACAAAGAAAAAACAGTGAACATCTGCAGCAGTCAATGATATTGGAACCTGGAAGCAATAATGGGAACTGGGTTTTACATTAAATGTGTTTATAAAAAGCAGCCCAGTCAGGATGTCTGGAGTCACACTGACGCCTTAAAAACTTGATTACAAATTAGTGTTTGTGTTCCCATAAATAGTATTTTTTGGTTCGTAGTTTTCTGGCTGACAGTTGTGGTTATTGTTTGGCACCGTTTTCAGTGAGGTCATTATTTTCACATGCAAATTAAAGCCAAACTTGCAAAGAACTTCTGGTTAACTTTTAATTCACAGTTCAGGCAGCTTTTATAACAGTCAGTCCATCTCAAACCATCAACGTTTCAGAACAATTTCTTCTCAACCATCTCTGATTCACCAGAATTTTTATAGCATAAAATATGGATATTTATAAACCAGAACACTTCATCTCTGGGACACAGAACCGTCTCCTTCCTGAGCGCTATGATGGCTGGACATTCCCGTGGTGTTTATGTAATAGATTGAACAGATGAACGTGGAACCTTCAGCCATCTGGAAGCTAAAGGATGAACCAGACTGGTGGAGGTCCACGGTTCTCTTGGCTGGTTTCATTAGATGTTCCATGTTGTCACCAAAGGAAGCAGCGTGTTTGAGGTGTGCCTCCAATTAACTCAGATGTTGTCAATTAACCAATCAGAAGCTTCCAAAGCCATGACATTTTTGTTTAACTTTCATAACTGATGAAGCAGGTTTGATAACTTAAATCAAGAGGAACAGATTTCAGGAGTTTCAGGATGATTCTCCAGATTGATTTTTTACACATGGGTTTATTTTTCATTTTCAGTTGCTCAAAGGAAACTTGTCATGATGGTTTCAGCTTTTTCCAGGTTTCATCTCACCCATAATCCTCATCAGAGAGCATTTGATCTAATATTGTAGATTCTGATTTAATGGTATGATGTGAAATAAGTGAACATTTCATATTGTCGTTCAAACGTAGCCTCTATTTCAATGCCTGAAAAAATGTGCTGAAAGTGGGTCAACTGGCAATATATTAAAAAAAAACTATCAAAGTACCTGATATATCAATCTAAAACTGCACAGATACCATTTTAAACACTCATCTGATGAGAACAGAATCAGAGACGGTCGAGCAGAAGCCCCCTGGTGGTGTGAGATGGAACGACATCATAGTAATGCCTTCCAGATACAAAACAAGAAGTTGAAAAGTGGAGCCTGCTGATTGGCTGGTTGCTGGGTCGGTTCTCCTGCGTCTATGTCGGTTTCTACTGGGTTCTTCCCACAGTTCTGACGGTGGTTAAATGTGATTTATAGTTGGCCACAGGTGTGAATGTGAGCGTGAACGGTTGTCTGTGTCGACCTTGCGATGGACTGGTCGCCTGTCTGTGACCTTCTGAAGGACAAAGTGTGTAAATGATGATGGATGAAGGTTTTTTTAAGCAGAAGTTCACTCTGAGTTTGACACAAAATGAATATATAGGATATAAATAATAAATATTAACAACTAATGAGCCTTCCAGCATCAAGCCCTCCTTGTATCTGGACCTCCGTCTTGACAATCCGACAGCCTTGCTATCCGACATAAAAGAAGGTTTTACATTTAGTGTCGGATTATCGAGTCACGACTGTATTTCAGTCTGGAATAAAGCGCTGCTGTCCCTGGAGCTGTGCTGCTGGCATGGCTACCAGAGGAGAACCTGGGTATTCTATCGTAAACACTGAGCGTGATTGAAAGAGCACAAAGAAGCTACCGCGCGAAACTCTTTGTCAACAGAAACTCCAAACATGATAAATTTACGCTGCTTAATTAGCGATTGGTCTCCTGCAAGATGATGAGACACCCAGACATCCAGCCGAGATCATAAGTCATTCGGGTTCACGTGTTTCATGCCAAGTGCTAATAAGACAGATTGTACTTCAATTCATTATGCGCTAACATGTCTTCCCTAACAAAGAAAATGCTAATACGTATTTAGTAAGTCTCACAGCGCTTCATAGACGATCAGCGGCGCGGCAGCAGCGCTCTATTCTGGGACAATAGAAAGTTGACAACAGACAGAGGAGACAAAGGAAAACCTGCTGCTGAACTCTGGAACAGTTTATTCTAAACGAGAGAACGGTTGCATCCCGAGGCCACGGCAGATTAACACCAAAGTGTGGCAACGCACGCCGCTGCTTCTGTGCAGCATGTTACAGGAAACCAGGCCGTGTGCAGCGATCACAATCCCTCCCTCCAACATCCAACCAAAACTCACCACGATGGGAGCTTTCTGACCAGAGTGGAAAAACGCCAGCGCTGCCCACCACTATGGACCATCGATCATCTGTGTGTCGCTCTGACCTTTGCCTCCAGACCGTTGGATTAGTTAAAGTGTGGCCCGGGGCAGCTGCTGCACGTCTGAACTCAGAGCACTGACTCGGTTCTACCTGCACACGCTCATTAAAAGCACAACAGTATATTCTGACACGACAAAAAACACAAAAAAAAACGAGCCCGTCACCGTGTTCACACCCGACAAGGATGAACAGTCTCTTCTAATAAACTCCCACTCAGACATCCTTATGTTGGATGATCACACATAAAGCTGCTGAGGCAGATGGTCTTCATCAAACTATGTTAAACATCTTCACCATAAAACACTCCACCTGCCTCTCGTTAGCAACTCCTCAAGTTATAATGGGTCAGATACCTGGGAAATCAGTCAAACTGTCAATCATGTGCATTACTTATTGGACGCCCAAGTAGAAAAAAAACATTAAAAATGGCGGCCATTTTTCAAGATGGCGTAATTTCAGGATTTTATAAAAACCTATATTAACTGTTAATCAGTTTTGATGATACTCGATTCCAAAAGCAAGCTTCTGCCAAATTTTATGACGCTGTCACCGAATTATTCTGGTGGATTAATCGTAGCAGCTGGACTTGCTTGAGTTCCTTGAAGACGTTCCACCTCTCATCCAAGAGGCTTCATCAGCTCTGGTTGACTAGTTGGGAGTTCCACATACTGATACGGAGCCATTAACACCTGAGAACATCTCTCCCCAGGAAGATGGAACCACATCCACACCTAGCCACAAAAGACCCTAACGAACCCCATTTTGGCAGGGGGAGCACTAAGGACTCACCTAACGAGGGGGAGGAGCAACAAACCCCCAGTTGAAACTCAGGTGTTAATGGCTCCTTAAGGCCATTGGGGAGTTGAGGTAAGTGTCTGCTATTCTCCAGACCTCTTCAAGTTGCAGGTGATCAGCCAACACTTAAAACAGTTGGGTGGCGTCTGGTGGTAAGAGGTTCTCCAATGAAAGCTCAAGGCGAGCAAACTCACTCGGGTCATGATGAGAGAAGTTAGTTGGCCGTGGTCCATAGGAGATGGACTCTGGAATGAGGGAGGTCCTGATTGGAGGCCGTGGCTGCATCCGTGACCCACCAGGAGGCTGCTGGGGATTGTATCCTGGCTCACTCTGGAGACCACCACAAGCTGTTTGGGCTTGGGCTTAGTTGGAGGCAAACTGAATGGCTGCAATGGAACCGGCTTCAACACCTGACAAGTTGTTGGCATCTCTGGTACAGACTGAATAAAGTTTCAGCTCTCTCCTCCTGCATCAGCATACCGAGGCCTGACTCCATATGCACCCTGTCTCCTCGTATCCTTCATGCTGGATGTGCTGAACAAGTGATGCATGAGTTGGACGGATGGCTTCCAGGAACCTGCGTTTTTCTGGCAAACGGTTCCAGCTGTGCTTCTTCAGCTGCTCCACTTAGTTGCACATAATGACGACAAACTTCTCAAACAGTTTTCTATCTTTTTTTTCGACAATCTGTAGGATAGCTGCTCATTTCAGTGAAGACTTTCGCGGCTTCAGGGCACACATCTAATGTCTTAGCCTTTCCCCAGAATGCTGAAACAATTTCACGGCCAATGAGATCATGTATGAGCAGAACTCCACTGATCCCTTCTGGATGCTCATGTACTGAGATGTACTTCAGATTGTTGCCTAAAGCCAGCTATTAAGGTCGAAGTTAGCGTGTTAGAACATGCAGATTGGATACTAGATGCTTTGTTTTATATATTTTAACACCAAAACCCAGCACATCAGTCACCAGGATGTCGCTGCGGTAAAAGACATAGGTTTGCATCTTGGAAACCATTTGGTGGCTGATGTTCTGTTATATTTGCACTTATCTGCTCCACTATAGATTAAACTAAAGCTGCTGCTGTATGTTTCCATCAATTGGTCATAGTTTACATCCAGACTCGACCTTTTAGATATAAACCATCATCACGTCACCATTTTATCCTTTTAGACATTTATGGGAATTCTTGAGTTGTGTTTGTAGCCATTAGGTCACAATAACCTTTTATAAAATATTAGTTTTAGGCCATTTGGTGCCTTTTTTGAGAGATATAATGGAGACAGACAGGACATATCTGGAGAACGAAGACATTGACATGACGTGTAGAAAATGCTGCTGCTCAGGGCATGTGGTGGTTCCTCACCACGCAGCCGTGACCTCGTCCACGTCGCTGCTGCCTTTAACCTTCAACCACCAAATTTTGATCACTTCTCGCTCGATTCCTAAAGCAAGTTTCTGCCAAATTTTATGACACTGTCTCCAAGTTATTCTCATAATTTAATCGTAGCAGCTGGACCTGCTTGAGTTTCTTGAAGACGTTCCACCTCTCATCCAAGAGGCTTCATCAGGTCTGACCGACTAGTTGGGAGTTCCACATACTGATATCCTGAAGGAACCAAAGTGGAAAGACCATCCCTCAACAGAGGTGGAGGTCTAAGGCATCATCTCTCACCTGTTTACCACTCAGTCCTAAGATCTCTCCCCAGGAAGATGAACCCACATCCACACCTAACCACAAAGACCCTAACGAACCCCACTGTGGCAGGGGGAGCACTAACGACTCACATAATGAGGGGGAGGAGCAACAAACCCCCAATTGAAACTCAGGTGTTCATGGCTCCTTCAGGATATCAGCATTTGGAACTCCCAACTAGTCAGTCAGACCTGATGGAGCCTGTTGGATGAGAGGTGGAACGTCTTCAAGGAACTCAAGCGAGTCCAGTTGCTACGATTAAACCACGAGAATAACCATCAACTGGATGACTGAGGATCTTCTCAGACACCATATCCAAGTGTTCAAGAGTCATAACGTTCACAAGAATGGGACAACCTGAGAGCAGAACGCCTCGACTGGAACAGAGGTACAAAAACAGTGTCTCAGGAAGGTGTTGGTCCACCACAAGTCAGAACATGTCAACAGTCGGTGTTTTGATGGTGATGGTTGCTGCTCTGTACTGGGGTAGAACAATATGCAAGAAAACCTGATCGCACTTATCTCTGCAAATGTTACGAAACGAGTCACATAAAACATGATGGTTGGGTTTTGTGTAAATGTGATTTACAGGCCGGAGCGTCTCCGTAGAACCACAGTGCTTCATTTAAAACAGTCTGTTGTGACATTATTAAAAACTCACAGCTCCTGCAGTTTGGATAACGATCGTTCATATCGTGATTTTGATTTAATATTTCAATTAATTGTTCAGGCCGTCTCTGCTATCTTTCTGAACTCATTTATTCTGGTCTTCCTTTTAATTTGGAAGCCGCCCTTGGTCAACTGCCAGAACCATCAACTGTTAACAGTCTGGAACAGCCCTGACCAAAAAAAAGCCCTTTTTCTCTCAATTTGGGTCAATATCAGATTGTCTGTGGGGCAATTAGGGCAGCGGATGACAGCGTCCACACACACACATCGTGTAACAGAAGGTTTTTACCTCAGCGTGTTCACGTTGTGTTGTAGCACAGCAGCCTCCACCACCTCCATCATTTGGGTTTTAAAATATGAGTGAGGAGCTGGATTTGGGTTTTTAACCAGCAGACCACAGGATGACTGTCAGGCTCTGAAACCAGTCCACCGCTTCCTTAATCCTAAAGCTCCACAAGGCTCACTACACTCTTCTTCTGACATCACCGAGTCTGTCGAGTCTTCAACCATCGCAGGACCGAGAAGTTCAGTCCAAGTTCCTCAGATAATCCCAGACGTGGCTTCACAGCTCCCCATCAGAACCTCGTGAATGATTACGGCTGTACTATTTAATCTTTGCTGACATTTCCATTATAGACTCATGTCTCAATTGTTTTTCAATTAATCAAGACTTGGTTTGTCTCAAAAATGCCAGAAAATATCACAATTTCCCAGAGCCAGACGTGACATTTTTTTAATTGCCTGTTTTTGTCGGAGCCGCTTCCTCAAACAGCGAAAAAAATAAAAAAATTTAATTACCAATGATGGAGCGGAGAGAAGCAGGTGATTTTTCTTCTGGAACCGGCGGATATTTGGCTCCTTTTTTTTTTCTTCTCTCTCTGTTTGTTTGTTTGATAAACGACTTGAACAAGTATTATCAGAATTGCCGTCAGTTTGCTCAGCACTAAATCACCGCCACGTCCAGCGTTACAGCGTTATTGACAACGCTCGCTGCCTCGGGGGAAATCACGCCGCGCCACCCAGAGCATGTCTGTTGTCCGGCCTCGTGTACGCCGAGGAGCTGCCACCTTCCCACAACTGTCACTTTGCCACCTCAACAGCGATTCCTGCTTTTTTATTTTCTCCACTACCTCGGCGCCCCGACCTTGTCAATTTCACACTAACTTCCTCGGTTGCACCACTTCACACCTGATTTTTCTGTTTCAGTGTCTGACCTTTACCGCCCCGTGCCAAACCTTCCTCTGCAGTATTTTTATCTCCCGTTCTCATTTAAAGTTTTATTATCGTGCCTCCGTATTCTCAGACGGTGGAGACTCCTTCAAATTTAATCTCATTGTGCGATGACAGTAAATGAATTAATAATCTCTCGCATCCCCTTTTGCTTTTCGATGCGCGCTTGTTTACTGCATGTGTTTGAGTGCATCCTGTGTGAATTCAGCTGATCTAATAATAATTTATGCAGCCCCATATGGCAACAACAAAGCGGTGATGTAACCTTGTCTGGAGGTGTTTGTGATAGGAAAAACAAAAATGCATTCAGCTGTGAAACTGCAACATTTCACAGGATTCGTTTGGACCCAGAGATGTGACAATCCGGTGTTACACAACGCGCATTCTCAGCTCCGTAATCTGATTGGCCAGCGTTTGTCTCGGCCGGGCGGAAAACACGCAGAGAGCCCGGCGGGTCGCGCCGTTGGGGGATATTTGCACCTGATTTGCCGATGAAAGGCTTCTTCCGTCCGGTGATTCAGGAAGAAGTCGGATCCATAATGTTGATTAAAGCGCACGCTGTGTCATTCACAGAGGATCCACGGCGGCGGCAGCAGATGTCATTAATCGCATTAGCAACAGATGTTTTATCAGCGTTTTGTCACCGGCTCTTCCTTCCACGACTGATTCACAGCGAGGCCGTCCTGCTGCGTCGTGTAAACACTGTCCGCTCAAACCGAGGATGGAGCGTGTGTGTTTACAGAGCGTTAAAGCTACACATCTGCAGTTTAAATATTTGAATCCTGCAGACTTTCAATATACCAAGAATTCATGAGACGCCAGCAAAGTTTTCAGCTAAACCAAGAAGACACAAGAGGGAGAACGCCTCCTGTTTGTGAGATTACCATGATCCTGGATAAATAGATTAACTGTTTAGTCCAATGTGATATCTGTAAATGGTTTGTTTACTCCATCCCACGCCACGAAACTCAATAATATTCAATTAACGATGATTATCTGTAACAAAAGCAAAAAAATTGAGGGTAATGTAGCATTTCAGTGAGAGCGGAGGTGTTGCTCTCCTCTAAATGATTCGGTGGGAGACGTCTCCTCGGTTGTGCATTTTAAAGCTTTAAATACTCAGCATTGCATATTTGTAGCTGAGAGGCAGTTTTAAGAAGAGACTGTGTGGTTCAAACCTTCAGCAGCAGTTTGCAGATCTCGTATTTGCCCTTCGCGGCGGCTTCGTGGAGCGGCGTGAACTTCCACAAGTCGGCCACGTTGACCGAGGCTCCGTGTCTGACCAGCAGCTCGGCCACCTCGTAGTGGCCGTACGAGCAGGCGTTGTGAAGAGGAACCAGGCCGCTGCAGAGGGAAGCACGATCATGGAGTTTTCACAACTGAATTCAAGCCTTCTTACTCCATAACACGAACTAACACAGCTCACTGCCCGACTCACCCTTTGTCCTTGGCGTGCACGTCCGCCCCGTGGTGCAGCAGGTACTCCACCACCGACACCCTGTTGTAGCCGGCAGCAAAGTGGAGAGGAGTGGAGTGTCGTCCCTCCAGATCTCTGCAGTTCACATTCTGAGCCGTGCACAGCGACTGCAGACACACAGACAGATTGAATCAAATGAGAGTGCAGACGGAGTTTGGTTTTCTGCGCCACCGGGGAAATAAAATAACAGCAATCAAGATTTCTTTTTCATTGTTCTGCATATTTATGACAAAAGTCTGGTGATGAGATCAGATCATTTCGAGGCGCCGCCCACCACGAGGTTGACATTTGTTGTGAGTCAAATGTCTCCAAAGCTGTTGAGAGGATTGAATTTTGCTGGCGATCGCTGTATTCTCATGGGGCGGTATCATCAGCTCAGGATTTATTTAGTTTATGACTGAATACTACAAAAGTTAATGATGTTCTCGTTCACGTCTGGTAAACATCAGCACCGTCACTGTGAGCATGTCAGCGTGGTACCAGCACGCGATAGCAGCATAGCATGGAGGCTTTAGCTTCTCTGTGCCAAAGTACAGGCTCACAGAGCTGCTTCCATGGACTCTCGAAGGCAGTTGTGAATAATAGCAACACCTTATGCAGAAGGACAAAAGGTCTGCAGAGGACATAATACATGACAACAGGCAAAGTGGATAACATGAATTATCCTGTTACAATGCAATGTTCTGCAGGGAAATCTTGGATCAAATGGATGCTACTGTGCTGCAAAACATTATGTGCCCATCTAGACTGTAAATCTGCTACGGAACGGCTCGAGGAACACGACCAAGAGCCCCAGAGATCCTGTGTTCATGCTGCAACACTTCAGAGCTGTTTTGGTTGCACACGATTAGAAAGCTGGTCTTATTGCTGTGGCTGCTCGGTGTATAATTACGTGTTTTCAAAGGGGAAAGCTGGTAAACTGGAGCTAAGATGCAGCAGGATACAGTGAAGAAATCCCAAATAATCCTGTCAAATCTTCTCTTTTTTGTTTGAGAATTGTGGCTTTGCATCTTAAATCTTCAGAGATTATTAATACGAGCAGTTTGGATTGATGGCGGTCATTCTGAGTGGCAGTAATTCTGCTCCTTTGGACGCCCGTCGTAATCGGTGATGTACAACAAATAGAGATATGTGACCAAAAAAAAAAAAAAAAAGCTTTTAGGGGTTCAAATTATTCACTGAAGTTGTGAAAAAACCCAGTGCGGCGCCTCCACCTGCGGCCCTGCTGCTCACAGAGAGCAACGCCGCCGCTGTTCTCCTCGTCTGTTATTTCAAACCCAATTACGCCGTAGTTCTGTAGTGAAAAAGGGCCACGGTGGGGAATTTATTTTAAAGTTTCATCCTACCTCTGTCTGGCGTCCTGTGCTACAGGAAATAGATTGAAAACATCCTGCTGACACCCTATTGCGCAGCGTAGAGCCATTATCCCTCACTTCAGCTGTTTATGAAAGCTACTTTCAGCAAAAAACTAAATAACTGCAGCTCGCGGAGTGGAATATGAATTCAGCAACACGATAAAAAAAATGAAGATTAAGTGTGAACAGGACAGAGGACTCCATACCTACAAGCTACAGATGCAATATGTAGTCGATTAATCTGTCGGTTAAACAGAACATTAGTCGTTTCTGGTTCCACCTTCTTGAAAGTGAGAATCTTTAGTTGTTGAACGATGGCACGCCGGGTCTCTTTAAAGTTTGAACAGCTGGTCCAACAAAACGTGTCACTTCAAAATGATGAAGCTTTGAACTATTTTCTGACGTTTTACAGATGAAACAATGCGGCTCACAGAAACACGACTTTCACCAACAAAGCTGCCGGCTGAATCAACAGACTCCAACTTTATGTGCTTCAGCTCATGCGATGAGCCTCTTTTAAAGCAGCACGGCGGATGTAACCGCCGCGCCGACGTCCATCCCTGACCCTGCATCCATACATCCAGTTACAGACAGAACTGTTTAAAGCTCCGCGGATCCGTCTCATACATTATGGAGCGAGGAACAACAAGAGTCGGTAATCTATTGCAGTGTTTTGGGCTCTGAGATTTGTCTGCCTGTGACCCGACGTCCGGGGTCGCCGTCTAACAGCTCAGTCTGAACCTCCTCAGTGTCTGAGCAGACGACAGGAGTCGGCCCACGATTTCTTAAAAACGTCAATCAGTAGGCGAGCCAGACTGTTAACCTCGGCTCATATGTGTGTGTGTGTGTGTGCGCGTCAGGTGCAGAGAAGCTGACAGGAAGCCAGACCAGAGCTCATCTCCGCTTCCACCTCGATCCTCTGCCAACCTGTCAAAGCGTCACACTTCAGACGCCGACAGACCCTCCTGGTCGGGATAACCCCATTACTGTCTGTCTGCGCCGGTAAAGACACATCAGGCTTCACTCGACGCCAAACGCTTCTGTCAGACACGCTACCGGGTCCTGACATTTGTTCGGGGGGAGTTTTATCCGAAGCGCATCACGGTGCATCATGAGCGGCCGCATCTTTAACACGAGTGGGCAAATCAATCGCAGGCCGACAACAAAAAAAACAAAAAAAACAAGAGCTGACTGTGGAAATCTTATGAGATGTAAAGCATGGCCTTTAACGAAAACAAAGGTTTATTTATTTTAATGTTTTTATACTAAAATCAATGAGGGCAACAATGCAAAGACATGGAGTAAAAAAAAAAACAACAGCGAGGTTCAGTTCATAGCCAACAATATCCGACTGACATTTAACAGAAATCACTACGACCAGGACTGCATGAGAGCAACAGGAGCAGCCAGAAAGGTCAGGACATTTCCTTTAAAAAGCAGGCGGACGTCTAATCCTCCCGCAGCAGCATCGTCTATATTTTAATAAGCCACATTATATTAATAGAGGTTTATCCAATCGGCAGCTCAGCGATTTATTCATAAACGGAAACGAACGAAACAATTTCTGCAGATTTAAGCACAACAACGTTTGTATTGTTCTTTACGTCGGCGGCTTCCTGAGTGTTCGGCTGTAGAGCGCTTGTGGTCAAGCTTCATGCAAATCCTGCATTATCTCCAAACCCTAATGAGGCAATTAGAAAGATTTCTGCTATTTCAGAGCAAATTAATTCCCCCCATCGGTGTCATTAAACACCGCGGAGCTGCTTAGAAAATGCTCTTTGACATTCTTTTATTCAAATTAAGGAGGTATTGATCGGGAAGAGTTGTGTGTGTGTTTTCTCTTGTAACCCTTCAACAACAACAACAACAACCAGCCCGAAGCCGGTGATCTGCTGGTAATTGTCAGACCCCTGCAATTAACTGGGACGTAAAGATTTTCAGGCTTTATGACTTCATTAGATTGACTGGAGGGCAGAGAGAATCCATGTGTCGTGTCTGACGTGTTGCTCGTATAGTGGAGAGGGAACTACCTTAACAGTGTCCAGGTCTCCGGCTTTAGCAGCTTCCAGGAGTCTGTAGTCCACATCTGAGTTCCTCACCGGGACGTTCTCTACAGAGGAGGAAAACAATGAGACACAGACTGTTAAAGGGAACATGAAGGAAGTGGTTTCCTCTGTAAAGACATGAAGTGAAAGGGAACGGCACCCTGCGCTGACAAACAACTGTTTGTTTCCAGACGCTGTTAAAGGATCAAACGTGTGAGATTTATGGGAGTGACACTTTGTTGATTTGCCCCTTGGCAGCAGAGCCTGAATCATCCTGCCTCTCTTCATGATTACAGTGCAGCGGGTAGAAGAAGAACCAGGAGGAAACAGTAGTGCAGCATCAGGCCTGAACGGGGCTTTCTTTGCCGTTTAAGCTGCTGTAAAAGCTGCAGCTGCTACAGTTAATGCACAGAGTTATTTATTCACTCACATTTGTAATTTGCAAATCAGATACGCAGTTATGGGATCTCATATTGTATCTGGGCTGCAGGATAGAAGTTAAAATCTACAGAAAGACAGATTATCAGAGGTGCCTCAGCAGCAATAAAGGTGAAACTAATTACTTCTATCCATCAATACTTTTACGACCTGCTAACAAGAAAAAGATCGATGTATCGGTCGGCCGATGTTCTCAGTAGATATCGACCTTTCACTCATATATCAGTAAAACAACACGTTGTCTAATATACGTCAAGATAAAACCGTCTTTTACAGAATATAA